GATGAAGATCCAAGACTACAGCCTTCAGTATAGATTACATCTCAGCATAAAGAAAACAAATATCTTTACACCTGGACCGATAAGCAACATCATGATAAACAGAGAAAAGATTGAAGTTGTCAAGGATTTCATTTTACTTGAATCCACAATCAACACCCATGGAAGCAGCAGTCAAGAAATCAAATGACACATTGCATTGGAAAAATCTGCAGCAAAAGACCTCTTTATAGTGTTAAAAAGCAAAGATGTCACCTTGAGGACTAAGGTGCTCCTGACCTAAGCTGTGGTATTTTCTAACGCCTCATATGCATGTGAAAGCTGAACAACGAATAAGGATGACAGAAGAAGAATTAATATCTTTGAATTATGGTGTTGATGAAGAATGTTGAATATACCATAGACTGCCAGAAGAACAAACAAATCTGTCTTGGAAGAAGTACAACCAGAATGCTCCTTGGAAGTGAGGCTGGCGAGACTTTGTCTCACATACTTTGGACATGTTATCAGGAGGGACCAGTCGCTGGAGAAGGACATCATGCTTGGTAAAATAGAGGGTCAGCAAAAAAGTGGAAGACCATCAATGAGATGGATTGACACAGTTGCTGCAACAATGGGCTCAAACATAGTAACAATTATGAGGATGGCACAGGACCAGGCAGTGATTCATTCTGTTGTACATAGGGTCTCTGTGAGTTGAAATTGACTGGATGGCACCTAACAACCGAAGAACAGTTTCACTATGACTCAATAAGACTTGACTGTGTCATCAGCCAGGACCAGCAGATTTACTCTTTGATGAAGATCTTGTAAATAAAGTCAGTGTCACTCTCTTTTTCATCAATAGGAATTAAAAAACACCAGAAAAGAGGCTGGCAGCAAAATAGTAGTAATGCTAAACAGACAATAAAAAGCAGAACAGGGAGATCTAATAAGTTTAAAATGGATTGGGGGAGAAAGCACCCAGGCCAGCTGTTTCCTAAGTTAGTTCTTCTAGGGCACACGTGATTGACTTAAACAGGAAATGTTATCGGCCCACAGTCCAATATTGAGTTCTCCACTGCTCGGGCTTCAGGTCTCTGCACTATGAAGAACATATATTTTGCATTTCTTCCAGGTAGGTGGAATTGTGAGGATATTCAGTTAAAACCATTCGGTAGTTCTTTATCCCTTTTCAGTACCTCTCTGTCCTCCGCTTGACTCCTGGCTTGCTCTGGCATTCTTTCTCAGAAGGATAATAATAATGGCCTTCTTTCAGTTCTGCTAACCTCTCAAAGAAGGAAGTGGTTTGAACTTACATCCATGAAAAAATGTCGGGCTTGTATTGGGACTTTTCAATTTCTTACCTATAAAATTTTTGTTCTTAGTTTATGTCCTGTGAAATAATATGTTGCCTGGAATTTCTTCCCAAATAATCCAGTAGGGGAGAGGAGAGTGAATAGAGGTGTAGATAAAACAAGAGTAGCCATGAGTTTGTGATTATTATAGCAGGGTGATTGGCACACAGGAGTTCATTAACTGTTCTTTCTACTTCTTAGTATGTTTAAAATTTTCTACCAAAAATTAAAAATTATGTAAGTAAAGATTATATTGCACAAAGTCACAGCACCAGTGAGTGTTAGACCTAGGATCAAATTTAGTTGTGTTCAACTCCAATACCAGCAGTGTCATCTCAGCTCAGCATGGAAGTGAAAATGCAGAGAGGAAAGATCCTGAACTGTAAAGAGCTGATATGAGTATCTGAATAAAATACCCAGATCTGATGAGTTACATCATAAGATGTATCTCCTAAAATGAATGGGAATAGATGTTCTAATAAGTGTGCCTGTTATTTTCCATCTTACTAAAGGCTCCAAAAAACCAAACCCTTTGTCATCAAGTCGATTCTGATTCATAGTGACCCTATACTGCTTATCAATTCCCTAGAAGGCTTCTGGAAGATAAAAGGGAAAAGCTCTGCACTCCAGGTCCTGTAGGAAAGTCTAGGAGCTGGTCTGAAAGGAAATGCTGGGATGTTGCTAGAATCCATGGGGACCGTAGGGGACAGGCCTATTAACGAGGTGGTAGTAACTATTCCTGTGGGTGCCTTGGATCTCATTCCTCACCTGTCATTACCTCCTCCCTTTCTGTTCTAGGGATCTGTGCCCTGCTGATATCACTGGGAACTATTGCCCGGAGGGCTGGAGGTGAGTCTGTTCAAACAATCTCCACCCACCACCTGAAGCTGGGAAAAAGAGCATCATATTAGCAGGGGCTTATTCTTGAGTCCCAGATATAGTCTTGTTCTTTGGCTGAGAGAAAAAGACCCTGTTTCCTCTTCAAGCTCTCAGTCTATTACCAAGGACTCTTCCTTGTTTGAAAAGAGGCATCTCTTCTCCCTCTCCCTTCCCCACCAGCCCTTGCTTATCAGCTGGCAGCTGGCATCTTCCAAGGGCCTTCAAACCAGATATCCATTTACCACAGCTCCCTGTGCCCGGTGCCCACGGCATGCCCATTGTACCAATGCCACTGCCTGCCGCTGTGATCCTGGATTCACTTCTCTGTCAGGGAAGGACATCTTTAACAGCCTCTCAGAGGTTTGTACAGGTAAAAAGGCTGAGGGATTGTGGAGGGGGTCATCATAAATTGTGGACTTTGGGTATTTGTCAGCTCCAATAAAGTGGTGTAATCTCAGTTCAGTACGGGAGTGAAAAGGGATGTCAGCCATTGCAAAGAAGAAATATCTTGAGAGACTTCAACCCTCAGAGCAGCACCAAAGTTCTTTGTCAAAGGTAGGAGAGAGGAGCAGGAAATGGGGCAGTCAGGTCTCATGGTCAAGGGGTATAGTGTTAAGAGCTTGGGATTTGAGCAAGAGTCTCTAATTCCAGCTGTATAAGTGACCGGCTGTGTCAGCCTAAGCAAACTGTTTCACATTCCAGTGTCTCAGTGTCTTTATCTGTACATCTGGGATAATGCTAGTGTCTACTCATTTGGTTGTTATGTAATTTATTTAATTAATACATATAAACGGAATCCATAAAGACAGAAAGCAAATTTGTGGTGCTGGGGTGATGGGAAGATGGGGAGTTATTGTTTAATGGATATGAGGTTTTCTTTTGCGGTGATGAAAATGTTTTGGAACTAGATAGAGATGATGGTTGCACAGCACTGTGAATGTGTTAAACACCATTGATTTGTATACTTTAAACTGGTCAATTTTGTTATGTGAATTTTGCCTCAAGGAAAAAATATATAAATGATTAATTAATTAACACATGTAAAACACTTAGAATAGTGCCTAGCACTCAGTAACAATTCAATACATTGCTGTTGTTTTGGTTGTTGTTGTTGTTAATGGGTCAAAGACAGAGGCAGTACGGAGAAGGAGGAGGATGGGAGAGAATGACAGAGTGATCCAGAGGTCAACAGTGTTCTACCAGCTCTAGCACATCTTGCAGGAAACTCTCCTAAGCCAAGATCTCAGAGTTCCTCCATCTGAAAATAACAACAGGTAATCTCACGCCAGGATAGCTATTTGCAATTTGTGAAACACCATTTCTAAAATTAAACCACAAAATAACCAGATGAAGGGGCCCTTGGTGGCACAATGGTTAAGTACTCAGCCGCTAACATAAAGGTTGGAGGTTTGAACCCACCCAGCTGCTCCAGGGGAGAAAGACCTGACTATGTGCTTCTGTAAACGTTGCAGCCAAGAAAACCCTACAGGGCAGTACTACTCTGACACATGGGATTGCTATGAGTCAGAATCAACTTGATGGCTTCTAACAACAACAATAACAAGATAGAGTCCCTGGGTGGCACAGTTTGCAGTTGTCTGCTAACCTAAATGTTGGCAGTTTGAACCCACACAGCAGCTCTTTGGAAGAAAGTCCTGATGGTCTGCTTCCATAAAGATTACAGCCAAGAAAACCCTATGGAGCAGTTCTACTCTAACATATGGCATCACCATGAGTTGGAATTGACTTGACAACAACAGGTTTGGGTTTTTTTGGTTAAATAGCTAGAAGAGTAGATATCATTATTATTCCCAATTAATAAATAAGGAAACAGAGACACTGGGAGGTGCAGTGGCTTGCTCAGGCTCACACAGTTGGTCATACAGCTGAAATGTAAGTCAGGCTAATTTGTAGTTCACAAAGCTCTCAAACAAATATAGTCCCCTAAGATGCACAGAGCAGCCCCTTGAGAAAGCACAGATGCCAAATTAAAATGAGGAAACTTGGACCCTGAGAAGTGAAGCAAGTTATGCAAAGTCACAAAACTAGGAAGTGGGAGAACGTGGGTCCACGTCTCAAATTAGAGCATTCTGATTCTTGTTCAATTGGACATGAGTTGCATGAAATATTTCTGCTATGGAATATTTTATAGCCATTAAAATTATTTGTTGTTTTGATATGGAAAAGTATTCTCAATATATTTTTAAATCTTAGAAGAATTTGCATATACAAAATGATTGAGTAGTGGTCTAACTCTGAGGGAGTTGGGAACAGATGGAAAAGGAATGGTGACAGCTTCATTATTGGTGAAGCTGAGTGGTAGGTATATGTGGGTTTATTATATTATTCTCTCCCTAAAAATATTGTTGTAATCTTTGTGGTTGAATTTTTTTGTGTGTCCATTGCACTTTCTGTTTTTCTAGTTTTCTACTGTGAACACACTTTTTGTTTAGAAAAAACGAGAGAAACATTTTGAATCTGTATGCTACCAATCCTAGCCGCAAATTTAGATGACCCCAGCAGTTCCCACTTGTGTTCCAGATATCGAGTGTGGTAAACCCTTACGTGTATCTTGTGGAAACATAGCAGATTGTCACAACGTGGAGGGAAGCTCCTATTGTGAGTGTGCCTCTGGGTACAAATGCCTTTCAGGGGACACAAAATTCAAAAGTGAGAAGGAGAACACTTGTGAAGGTAAGTAGTTTCCCACGTGTGTCCCCTCCACCCCTCTCCCCATGTCACCTACCCACAACCTCATGCTGTCAAATTTGAGCACTTTTCTGGACCCAATGCCACCAGGTCTGAGAGAACAGGAGAGAGCACCCTTTGCCCAGGTTGGTGACTGGGCCCGGGTCCTATCAGGGGCCCTTTCCTCCTATTCTCTGCTCTTGTTCAGACTTACAATGCCACATAAGGAACACTTGTTGTTGTTAGTTGCTATCAAGTTGACCAGTGGCTTCACTAGGGTTGGTGTCACCCAGTGAGGTACCTCATGGTATCAACCCCCCCCATGGACCTCTTCCAGTGCCAGACCATACAGAATCCTTAATAATGTGTATTATCAATTTTAATCATAAAATCATACGTGACAAATATAGTTGTAAATTGCTTGAAAGTAGTATTTCTTTGATTGTATGAATATTAACAACAAAATTGTTTTGTAAAATCTACATTGAATTACAATATTCTTAGTTACAACATTATTAGTAACTGAGCAGAGCCTTTTTTTATTTTTCTCCTTTTCCTTTAATTACTATTTCATTCTCCAAAAAAGTATTGACATAAGTTCACAAATACTAATTACCAGAATATTGTAGCTAAAACTCTAGAAAATTTGACAAGATCAGTGACTATAAAAACAGTGGCAGCAACAAAAACAATAGTGCATGCTTGTAGCATGTGCAGACAAAACCATGTGATTCGAAGTGCCATTGTAATTCTATTTTAAATGGAAAAACATGCTGCAGAAAATGCCAAAGGCTTTTCTTCTCCTTTATCTTCCTTTTTATCCACCTTAAGCACTTTTTCACAAGTGACTTTTCAGGTTAAAACTCTTCAAATGCCTTTTGAGGGTACTTATACAATAATTTCATAAAAGGTATGATTTGGTTGTGTACCATTGCTCCAGGCTGTATGTCAGGGTTTGGAAATCCAGCTATGAGTAAAATATTAACTCTTAAATTTTTCAACATTAAGAAATCTGACACCAATGTATTTGCATCGAAGTGATTTTATTTTTAAACAATCTTGCTGGCAGCCTCATGCTATTTGTAAACTAATCATCATTCCCAAAGGAGAAAACCCTCCAATCTTAAGATGAGAGGCTTCTCCTTCACCACTGTTCAGGTTAAAAAACCAGAAAAACCAAACCCGTTGCCATCGAGTCGAGCGATTCCAACTCATATCAACCTTATAGACCAGAGTAGAACTGCCCCATAGGGTTTCCAAGGCTGTAATCTTTACAGAAGCAAACTGCCATATCTTTCACCTGCAGAGCAGCTGACAGGTTTGAACCACCAACCTTTTTGTTTAGCTGCAGACAGAGCTGCACCACCAGGGCCCTTTTAGAGATACAATAAGCAACATCATGTTAAACAGAAAAAAGACTGAAGTTGTCAAGGATTTCATTTTACCTGGATCCACAATCAGTACTTTAAAGTACCGAAAAGCAAAGATGTCACCTTGAAGACTAAGGTGCGCCTGACCCAAACCATAGTGTTTTCATTTGCCTCATATGCATGCAAAATCTGTGCATTTGAATGAGGAAGACTGAGGAAGAATTGACGCCTTTGAAATACAGTGCTGTCAAAGAATATTGAATATACCACGGACTACCAAAAGAACAAACAAATCCGTCATGGAAGAAGTACAGCCAGAACGCTCTTTAGAAGCAAGGATAGCGAGACTACTCACATACTTTGGACATGTTATCAGGAGGGACTATTCCCTGGAGAAGGACATTACGCTTGGCAAAGTAGAACGTCAGTGAAAAAGAGGAAGACCCTCAAGGAGATGGATTGACACAGTGGCTGCAACAATGGGCTCAAGCATAACGATGATTGTGACAATGGTGCAGGACTGGGCAGTGTTTCATTCTGTTATACATAGGGTTGCTATGAGTTGGAACCGACTCGAAAGGCAACTAACAACAGCAAATACTGTCCAGTCTCCACTCCACTGGAGCTGGCAATAGAAGAGCAAATTCATTGTCATCTTTTCTTTCCTAAGTAGAAAATAGGGAAAGATAAGTGTGAAGCCACGTCAACTCAAAGACACCCACACTTACTCAAAGCTGTGACCACAATTATGCAACTTCCTCATTTTCATCCACAAGATACTCTCAGAAGAAGGAACTTCTCCTTGGTGGGGAGATAGCAGGAATACCCAAGATATGCTGAAGTCAAAACAAGTTCCTCTAAATGCAGCATTTAGAAAAAAGCTTCCACCCACTGTGGGCAACACTGAGGGCTGTGTAAACCTGGAGCCCTTGAGGCAGAGCTGTGCTGGAGCCACAGGAGGTCAAGGAGAAGCATTAGACAACAGGCAGGGGCTTTGCAGGCTGGACAAGCTCAGCTCTGAGGTTACCCATTGTTATGGATTGAATTGTGTCCACCAAAAATATGTGTTGTGTGAAATAAGGAGCTCTGGTGGCATAGTGGTTAAGAGCTTGGCTGCTAACCAAAAGGTTGATGGTTCAAACTCAGCAACCCCTCTGTGGGAGAAAGATGAGGCCGTCTGCTCCAGTAAAGATTACAGCTTTCGAATGCCTATGGGGGCAGTTCTACTCTGTCTTATAGGGTCAGTATGAGTCAAAATTGACTCCATAGCAGCGGGTATACTTGTGGATGTAATCCCATTTGGTAATAGGATTTTCTTTGTTATGTTAATGAGGCCATATCAGTGTAGGGTGTGTCTTAAGCCAAGCACCTTTGAGATATAAAATGAGCAGAGTAGGCACAGAGAAGCAAGCAGAGATGGGGGAAGATAGATGCCATAGCACATGGGGATCACCAAGCAACTGAAGAACAGAAGCTGAAGAGACGAGGAACTTTCCCTAGAGCCCACAGAGAGAGACAGACTTCCTCTAGAGTTAGTGCCCTGAATTCAGATTTCTAGCCTCCTAAACTGTGAGAAAATAAATTTCTGTTTGTTAAAGCCACAAACTTGTGATATTTCTGTTATAACGGCACTAGATAACTAAGACACCCATCAAGCCCCTGCAGCAACACTAGGGGCAGATACCAGTGCTGCTGTTGTTGTTGTTAGGTGTTTTTCGAGTTGATTCCGACTCACAGGGACACTATGCACAACAGAAGGAAACACTGCCTAGTCCTGCTCCATCCTCACAATTATTGTTATGCTTGAGCCCATTGTTTCAGCCACTGTGTCAATCCATCTCATTGATGTTTCTGAACCTTAGAAGGTGATTTCTGTCTGACACGCTCAGACTTGCCAATAATCTGGACACTGGCCATTGAGAAAGTAATTTTATTGCAATGCAAAGAGCAAGGAGCTGGGAGGAAGTTCCTCAGATCCGACTCCCCGAGCTATGGGGAAGCAGGGCTTATATGTGATTTGTGCAGCAAGATGGTGGCCATGCAGGCATACTAGGCAGGGAAAATTCTAGACGGCGGCCAGGAAACATCAGGTGACATGGTTCTTGTCGGACCTCTTGCTTCTGAATAGGGTCCGGGTGATGATTTTTCTTCAAATTTATTCCACCTGTTGAGGCATCCGCTGTTGAGGTCGATTAGTGGTCACAGCTGGCCCTTCTGCGTATGCAGGATTGGCCAAATCTGGCTCAGGCTAGTGTAAAGACTAATGGAAATTTACTGGCATTCATAGGGTCAGATTACATTGAGGGTCTTCCTCTTTTTTGCTGACCCTCTACTTTAACAAGCATGATGTCCTTCTCCAGTGATTGATCCCTCTTGATAATGTGTCCAAAGTATGTGAGATGTAGTCTTGCCATCCTTGATTCTAAGGAGCATTCTGGCTGTACTTCATCCAAGACAGATTTGTTCATTCTTCTGGCAGTCCACAGTATATTCAATATTCTTCCCCAACACCACAACTCAGAGGCATCAATTCTTCTTCAGTCTTCCTATTCATTGTGCAGCTTTTGCATGCATATGAGGTGATTGAAAACACCATGGCTTGGGTCAGGTGTGTCTTAGTCTTCAAGGTGACATCTTCGCTTCTCAACACTTTAAAGAGGCATTTTGCAGTAGATTAGCCCAATGCAATGCGTCCTTTGATTTCTTGACTGCTGTTTCCGTGGGCTTTGCTTGTGGATCCAAGTAAAACGAAATCCTTGACAACCTCAATATTTTCTTCATTTATCATGATGTTGCTTATTGGTCCAGTTGTGAGGATTTTTGTTTTCTTTATGTTGAGGTGTAATCCATACTGAAGGCTGTGGTCTTTGATCTTCATCACTAAGTGCTTCGAGTCCTCTTCACTTTCAACAAACCAGTGCTACTGGCAAGAAGCAATTCCCAGATTCCTGAATGGCCCACTGTATTAGTTTCCTATTGCTGCTGTAACAAATTACCATAAACTTAGAAGCTTAAAAACAACACAACTTTATTACCTTACAGTTCTGGAGGTCAGAAATCTATGATGATTCCATAGGGCTGTGTTCCTTCTCTGATCTCATGCTTCCTTCTTATAAGGACTTTTGTGATTACTTTGGGCCAACTCAGATAGTTCAGGATAATCCTCCTATCTCAAGATCTTTGATTTACTTGCATGTACAAAATTCCTTTTGAATATAAGGTAACACAGTCACAGGTACCAGTAATTAGGATGTGGACATATTTAGGAGGCCATTATTCTGTCTACCATACCCACTATCCACCAAGCAGCTCTAACCTGAGATCATGCATATACACACACACTCGCATCGTCCCTGCCTTGCACAGAAAGTAAATCTGGCTTTGTGGGCCAGATGGTCTCTGTCACAACTACTAAGCTATGCCATTGTAGTACAAAAACAGCCTTACACAATCCATATGTGAATGGGCATGACAGTATTCCAATAAAACTTTATAAATACTGACATTTGAATTTCATATAACTCTTATGTGGCATGAAATATTGCTCTTCCTTTGATTTTGTTGAACCATTTAAAAGTGTGAAAGTCTTTCATAGCTCACGGGCTGTACAGAAACAGGCAGCAGACTATTGGCTGGATTTGCCGACCCCTGTTTTAAGGTGATTGGAAAGAAGAGAGTACTATCACCAGATGGCATCCATTTCAGCTCCAGTGGAGTCCTCAGTGCCTGACCTTAAGGAAGGTGGTGGAGGGAAGTAGGATGGGGGCTGTGAGTAGAGGGGAGACCAGGCTGTGTTAGGGAACTGACCCTCTTCTGTACGTGAATGAGTGCAGCTCCGGACAGCACCAATACCACACCACCACCCACTGCCTCAACATTAGGGGCAGCTACAAATGCCACTGTAGCCATGGCTGGGAGACTAAGCCTTGGCATCTGAATGGTCTAATCACCATCACCTGTGAAGGTATATGGCCCTCACACACACACACACACACACACACACACACACACACACATGCACACTAAAACACAAATTCATGTGCATGTACATGCACATATATGCGCACAGTATGTATGCAAATGCATGCACACATGCACATGTACACATGCATGCATGCAATGCACATATGCACTGATACAAGTGCATGCACACACATGCACACATACATGCCAAAGGTGCTCCTGCTTTTCTTGTCTACAGAGATTGCCTTCCCCTCATAGACACCACCTTCTGAAGTCAACAGCCAGGTGAGTGAAGCCTGAGCAGAGACAAGGGGCCTTCCCCAAAACCACCTAGTATCCTCCCTCTTCCCCTCCCTCAGGCTCTCTGACCAACTCCCTTTTCCCCTTTCCCCAGAGTCTCTCTCGATTCTTTGACAAAGTCCGGCAATTATACCAAGACTTCAAGTCAGCCTCAATTCAGAACACTATCCAGGTAAAGTCACTGCCAAGAGACATGCAAGAATTGGAAATCCCATAGAGATTTTGGTCACTTTGGTCTGGGTGAAGACAAGTCCCCATGTGGTGGTCACTGTAACTGGCCCCTCTCGAAGCCCCTTCTGGACTTTGAGTTTATATCATCCTTGGTATTCCTGACCCAGGTTGACCTATTAAGGGCTGAGATTTAAGCAGCAAGGAACATCCAGGGAACCAGTGCCATTGTTAACCCCCAAATAGAGAATATACAGGGTGTAGTTCTCTGAGGTTTAGCAGTCATGGTCTTCAGGCAGCCCTTCTGACCCCTGGCCCACTGGCTCTATGCTCCATTCCCCAGGAGCTCACACAGGGCATGGATGACCTTCTGGAGACCCCTGGGGACCTGGAGAACCTGTCCCCCTCAGAGCAGCACTGTGTGGCCACTGATCTGCTTGTTGGCCTGGAGAATGTCCTGAAAGGCCTGAGCAAGGCCTTGCCCAAAAAGCCATTGATGCTGCATGCTCCTGGAGGCACAGGTGAGTCCCTGGGTCTGTCCAGTTCTCGTGCTCTGCTTGTTCTCTGCTTCATTCCTTCCCCAACCCCACTGGAACTGAGGGACCACATTTGTACCTCAGAATTTTATTTAAAAGAATTTAGAATTCATATAATAAAATAAAGCCCTGTGAAACTAAATCCTTTTCAGTTTCAAACACAGAAGCATATAAACAAATCAAAAGCAATCAGTGAAGTGTACACCAACATTCATTGCAGCATTATTGACAATAGTCAAAAGGTAGAAACAATTCAAGTGTCCATCCCAAGATGAATGGATAAACAACATGTGGTATATCCATATAATGGAATATTATTCAACCATAAAGAAAAATTAAGTTCTGGGACATGCTACAATGTGGATGAACCTTGAAAACATTATGCTGAGTGAAATAAGTCAGACACAAAAGGACAAATATTGTATGAGCCTACTTATACGAAATATCTAGAATAGTCAAATGCACAGGGACAAAAGTTTATTAATGATTACCAGAGGCTGAAGGAGGAGGGGATGGGAGTTACTTCTGAAAGGATACTGAGTTTCTGTTTGGGATGATGTAAATTTCCTGGAAATGGATAGTGGTAATGGTAGCACAACATGGTGAATGTAATTAAGATCACTGAATTATACACTAAGACAGGGTTATATAACTTTTTGTTATATATGTTTCACCACAATAAATTTTTATTTATTTATTTTTTATTCTACTTCAGGTGAAAGTTGACAGAACAAATAGTTTCTCATTAAACAGTAGTACACATATTGTTTTATGAC